AAAAAAAAAAAAAACACAAAGATTTATATAAAGTAACTGTCCCTTATAATTTTAAAATCCAGATTCTCATCACCTGGATTTAGTAGTAATGTGATGTCCACAGTCTTCCAGATTCATAAATTTGTACTCCTCAACTATTTCTGACCCCAGATCTGGATCTCAACCGAAATGAAGGACACAGGATGCTAATATCTATTAATCTCAGCTTTTAGGCGTATATTGGAGTCCTGGTGTGGCTCTGTAGGATAAGCATTGGGCTGCTGACTACAAAGTCAGTGAATCAAACCTACCAGCTGCTCCTCAGAAACCCTGTATCTCTATGAGTCAGAACCAACTTAACAGCACTTTCTTTTTATAATAGGTATATACCTACAACAGGAATATGCCTATTATAAAAAGAAAGTGCTTCTGTGGTAGATATTTTATTCCTTTACTGATTTCTAACTATTCTTCACATAAACCTTGGGTTTAAAGATGATACAGAACAAAAGTAATTATTAGCGATTTCATGAAGTGTGTGGAGCTCTTTGATATCCCATGTTACTGTTTTGAAATTTATTTCATTTGATGTATTCTGTCATTTAAAATAATTGCATGTCCTTTGTTGATTTCTGCTTTCTTTTTTTCTCTCTGATACAGGTATTGTTTTAAACTTAATCCTGATCCATGTAAACCTTTGGCATTTCTTCTTATTCCCACTATGGCAATTCTTGGAAATAGTTATACTGTTTCAGTAAAATCAAGGTATAGTAATTTAGTCTTTCTTTTTCTCACTTCTGTTCTTGATCTTTATTTGTCGCCTTTTATTTCATGTCATATTTTATGCTTTATACTCTAAGTTACTTTGACTGCTCCCAAAGATAATGCAATAACAGGAATTATGGTGTATATGCAACTCATAGACTATACTTGTTTTCTTATTTACAGACTTTACCTGTTAGAATATATTTTTCTCTTTAAAAAGTTATTTATTTTTAAAATTATTCTTTAAAATGGTATGATGTCTAGGATTTGCTTCCAAAGAGTACTGGAGGATGAAAATGAATGGAGGTAGAGGTAAAGTAAGATTGATGGTGATTGATCATTTTTGAAGCTACGTAATGGGTACATGAAGGTTTGTTACACTATTCTGTCTGATTTTATTTGTTTGAAATTCTCCATAATAAAATTTAACTTTTTGTTGGCTAGTTGATTGCACCAGAAGTTTTCAGAAAGAGATTTTCCAGAATCAGGCAGTCCTGTGATTTATTTTTGGATTTAGTAGCTTTATGTCCACAGACAAGTTTCTTATCCTCTTTTCCTCATTTTCTTTCTTATAGGAATAAAAAAGGGTGATAGTCTTTCCTGATAATATTTGTCTTTTGAGAGTATCTAGTGTTCTGTTTTATAGGCTCCTTTATTCATGGACCTAAGGATGTTCCTCTTTATTGTTTTGTTTTTGTTTTGCTATTATAAATAGGATTAAACATTTCTGTAACTGTGTTTTAATGAACATTATTGATTATTTTTGTTAGGATAAATTTCTAAAGGTGGAATTACTGAGCCAAAAGCCAAGTAGTCATGCTTTTATTTATTTTAAAGGCTATGTAAAACTTTCTATTTTTTAAATAGAATTCCTTTTCTAGCCAAAATATTGAGCACAATGGCTCCATACTATAAGCACAGGATTGCAAACCACAAGGTCAGTGATTCAAGCCTACCAGCTGCTCCTCAGGAGAAAGATGAGGCTTTCTGCTCCTGTAAAGATTTAAGGCCTCATAAACCCTATACAGGGTCACTATGAGAACCAACTCAATAATACTTTACAACAACAGCCAAAATATGGCTTATATTGATCTTTTAAAAATTATAAAGATAAAGTCATTATATGAGAAAGCACATCATTTGAAATTACTTGGAACACTTAACTTTTTCAAAACTGTATAAAAGATTAGCATAATCCATTTTATTACGTTTGTGTATTAATGTGTATTTTTCTATCTTCTTACAGTAAATTGTTGAAGACTGCTTCACAGTTTCCACTTCCTCTTGCTATTGGTGTGATTGCTTTTGGGTCAGCACATTTATACAGGGTCCCGTGCTTTGTCATCATTCCTCTTTTACTCCACACGATATGCAACTTTATGTAAGATTGGATTTAAAGAATGATTATTTATGTAAGATTGGATTTAAAGAAAGATTATTTATGCCTATAGGTCCAGTGATGAGAAGGGAATGCACAGATCAATCAACAGGGATATCAAGATTCTTTGGAGAAGACAAATATATTTTTACAGCATTGAAAATAGGAAATTAGTTTTGTAATGCTTGAGGAAAATAGTTCAAGCATGGTTTTGTTTTGTGGTGTGGCATCTGTGTACTACTCATTTTTGGAAAAATTACTAATGGGATATGGTAGCCAACATCTTTGAGTCCTCTTTTGTATATCAGCCAGTCTGCTTGGTTGACAATACCAGGGATCTTCTAGAAACTCAGTAGATGAAGCATTGTTTGTAATTTCACCTCAAGCATTCTGCTCATGTTTCATGAAGCTTGCTTCCGAAAAGTGTGTTACTCTATATTTGCTACAGTTTGCCTATTGAGAAATAAGTCATAAAATATTAATGAAGTTTACAAATGTTTGAGTTCTCAACCGTGAAATCAACTCAATTTTGGCCAAAATTATCATGGACAAAGTAGATCTTTTGTCTTTTACATCTAGAAGCATACAGCTTTGAATCATCAGAGGAAAACATGTTTTCTTGGTAGCCAAAGTAAGATGGATGAATAGAAGCATAATTCATTTTCAAATTTTTAATTAAAATTTTCCTATTTTTAGATATAAATCTTATTTTATATTGTTGGTGAATATTAAAAACAAAAATGCCATCAAGCCAATTTTAACTCATGGAGACCCCATGTGTTTCAGTGTAGAACTGTGTTAGATAAGATTTTCAATGACTGATATTTTAGAAATAGATCACGAGGCCTTTTTCCAAGGTGCTTCTGAATAGATTTAAACTATAAACCTAGCACATAGCTATTTGTACCACCTAAGGATTTATGGTAGCATAGTGGTTACGCATTGGGCTGCAAACCACAAGGTCAGCAGTTCAAAACTACCAGCTGTTCCATGGGAGAAAGATGAGGCTTTCTGCTCCCGTAAAGATTTACAGCATCAGAAACCCTGTACAGAGTTGCTATGGGTCGGAACTGACTCCATGGCACATAACAACAACAACAACAAGGGCATCTTTGTGAGTAGTAGGAGATTGATAAATAGATCCAATATTAAACATAAAGAAAAATTTCATAAATACTGACTTACAGGCTTTGGAGCTGCCAGTTGTTCTGCCTATACTACTTCATTTTATTAATTGTTCCCATAGTTGCCAAAAGGGTCTCCAGTCTTAATAAACTATTAAAGATAATAAGGAAAAGGGGGCTGTACAATTTTTATATACAATAGAAAAAAAATCAGAATGGTCAAATGTAGTATGTATACTATGGAAAAAAATCAGAATGGTCAAATGATTTATGAAATTTTACAGTTAATGAAATAGCAGTAGATATACTGTTACACCATCAATAGCATAAACTTAAATTGTTGTTGTTGTGAAGTGCCGTCGAGTCGATTCCCACCCATAGAAACCCTGAATAGGGTTTCCAAGGAGCAGCTGGTGAGCTTGAACCACCAAACTGTCAATTCAAACGACTTTGCAGTCTGATGCATTAGCCCACAGCAGCATATCAGGATAAATCACAGATTTTCAGCACGAGATTTATCAGCAGAATCTTGATTTGCACAGTTATTTCTAGGATTACTGTTTGACGAATAGAAAGTAATGTATCTGTTTCATTTCAGATTTCAGTTTATTTTTAAATACAAACAAGTAGTAAGGTGTGGAAGCTCAGTGGAGAAGTATACTCCCTTAGGATAGTATAAACTCAAGCTAAGGTACACCTACCTGGTCCACCACTGCCTTCTTTTACAGATATATACTGTCAATACCCAAAATTCTTGAGTAAGTACTAGTGATTCCACATTTGTACCTGTGGACTTTTACCCTTGTTAGTACCCAGGATGTCCTAGAGTAAGTAACACTTTGATTTTATCTGCCATTGCATCTGGACTCCATCTGTTACTGCCTATGGAGGGTTACCCCACTTTACTGCCTACAGAGGGTTACCCCCACTGTTCTTTTCAGTTGTTTCTCAGGTCCTTACTGTTTTGGCATCTGTTGAAAAGGATCTTGCTATGCTTCTGAGAGGTGCCTTTTTGTTTGTTTGTTCAGATTCCATTTGTTGTCTCTCTTAGCTTCATACCTATTGTTCATCATTCATATTTTCATTTACTGAGGCCATTAAAAGGAAATGATGCTCTTATAGTAGACATAGCCTAGTGTACCAGGCTCTTGCTTGAGAAGAGTAGCAAAAGATAATAAGATACAAAAGGTGTTCAGTACCAGAGAAGAAATAATAGCTTGTATACTTGTCCTGCTGCACATCATGTATATATTTAAATAGGGAAGCATCTGCCTATTTATAGCTGTACAGTCATAAACATGTTTTAAACACGTGTTGTGTTATAGTTGTATCTCAAGTTAGAGGTAGAATATATAATTTATTTCTAAGTTTGGACTTGGATTAATATACAAAAAGAACTGAAGAAAATTCATTGATTTGGATCTTCAGAACCATAATCATTGTGTTTATATAAACTAGAGCCTCCTTGTTTAATCAGTACTAGTCATGAGTAAAATTTAACAAGCGTCAATTTCATGTATGAGGAGTACATTTGCTTTTTAAAGCAGCAGCCTAGGCACACTGATTCTCACTAAAGTATTTTCATGTGAGCATAATTATCATCAAACCTTACCATCTTATTTATGCCAACAAAGTATTTCATTTTAGGGCTTCAAAACAACACTCTAATTAAGCATTTTATAAACTAGGTTTTTACCACTCATAAAGTCCTAATGCATGTTTAAACCCAAATAGCTACTGTAGATGAGAAAGTAGTGCTGTCTGAAGGTTACCAAATTTTTGATTCTCTCACTTGAGAAGAGGAAAGTCACTTTTCCTTTAAGGTATGTGTTCTTTCTATCATGCTTTTAATCTATTGTTAGCTGGTTAAACAACAAATTAATTAGCAGTGCTATTAAAAATGAAATAGTTTTATTGGTAGTTAGAAATTATCTTATTCTGCTGAGCCATTTTGATTCAGCAGTGCTGAGTTTTGAGTAAGTTTTGTGCTTATAAAAATGACTCCTGCATCTCGCTATTGATAACTAGATCAGAATATAGAAGGCACAGGAAAAGTACTGAATACTTTGAGTGTTTCTAAAGCTGCCTCTGGAGTTGCTTCTATTTTAATTTGGCACTGAGACTTTGATAAAAATCACCAATGCTCTTTTTTCTGGGACCTTTTCATTCCAGGAATTAAACTGATTCTTTAACTCTTTTCTTTAATTGGTTATAGCTGGAACAAAATTACTTAAAACAATGGTTCTAAAAAAACCATTTGTGCCTGATTAATACTGATTTTGAGTTCTTCAGTATATATTTATCATGTATTGATTAATCTTTTAAATTGTTTTACTTATTTTGGTCAGATAAATTCAGATGTACACAGTGGAATGACTTCTTGATTGAACTACATTCTAATAGCTACATGTTTATACAGTAAGAAAAAAGTGACCAAGAACTGAAGTAGGCCTTGTAAAAGTGGACTGGGGATTATTATATCAGTCATGTAGACATACACATTCACACACACAAAAATATAGACGGGGCAGATTGTCGGATTTGTTCATTATGTTCAATTAATTTTGATGCATATTAGTAAGGTGGTTCCGTTAAATGAAATCAGATAAAACTAAATTGAAAATTTAGTTTCTTAACAGCTCTGGGGAAAACAGGAAATAAAGATGAAGAAATTGCATTAGGACTATTGATTTCTGAGTCTTCAGATAAGTCAGTTAGCCTATATTTTCATCTTAGGCATTAAGTCTAAATTAGTGTAGTGTCTTGCTTTATTATTAGGTTACATGTAAAACTTTTAAAGTGCTATATTTGAAATCTTAGTAATTTGTTACTAAAGTTGGTTGAGAAAAATAAAATGTGTGGAACTAGGCATTTATTGATTATTTTTCATCATCACTTTTTGTTTTCTCAGTGTGTAGTATTTTATAAACTGGCGTATCATAGGCAGTAAGATACCTGAGGAAGGTCAATTAAGAGAGCATGTTACTCCCAGAATACAGGAAGCAATAGAAGTATCTGTATATTATGAAATCATTCAGAAAACTTCCTTGACAAATAATAAGATGAATGTAGTAGATATTTTACAAAATAAATCAGTAAGATAATTGAAGATTAAAATTTTCTTTCATACTAAATCTTAACACTGAGGGAACAAGAAGTCTCTGAGACTACACATTCTTTACTTTTAGTAACAATTATAGGAAATCAAAGAGCAGTAATACAAATCCAAATTATGTATACTGTAAATGTTCATGAATTTACATTTTTGATAAACCAGATAAGCTCTGAGTATAAAAGACTTGAGTTTTTATATGTTAACATTTTTTGAAATATCCAAGTATCTGCTTTAAGAATTGTAAGAATAAGGCAACTGTTAATCCATTAAATAATATGAATTTAACAGTACAACTGAATTTATAACATGTCTTTTAAGATTTCGGTTATAAGCTACATCTTAATTAAAATTGTCTATAGTTGGTAATTTTTAAATCAAATATAGTACTTTTTAAAATGTTTTGGCATGTTGAGTTGCCAAAAATGTTTTCAAATATCAAGTAATGAGCTAATTCTGATGTCTTTGTATAAGACTTGATATATGAGTCAGAATTATTCTGTACTCATTCTCTACATTGTAACTTTGAACATTTATGAAAAACTGTGTATGTTGATATATTTTTGATTAGTATAAATTTGTTTGAATATTTGAATCCTGATCTTAGTTTAGGAAGTCTAAAAGTAACCATTTTTGTAAAGCTAATATGCTATTTTATTTTAGTGTTTGGATTTTAGAATTTATATAATAGTAATATTACTAGTGAAAAGTTTCTAGACAAAGCAGAAAGTGATTTAACTGTTCAAAAGCCTAACTGCTAGGCATATTTTATATTACATGTTGTACTTGTTCTGTCTTTTTAAATCCCTTTTTAAGGAAGATAAGACATTTGGGTTTTTTTTTTCTCCTATTGCATAAAGCTCAACATTGGACACCATTAAACTATTCATCTAGTTAGCAAATCACTTTGTCACCAAAGCTAAATGAAACTGAAAAATACCTCTGGATATTTGTGCCAATGAATTTTTCTTAGTATATTGGGGTAACGTAAAAATAATCACTTCAGTATTTTTAATCTAGGATATATAATAAACATATAAATCATCAAAGCTTATGCTTCATATCCTAATTTTCTTTGAA